AAATTGAAAATAATCACATCACATATATACAACGCTTGCTGTGTACATATATATATTATGTATATGTATATCTAATACACGTTTTCGTGAACAAACATAATTTTTCTCTCAGTACTCGGAAATCGTCGTCCTCTCGTTCGTTTCCGTCTCCCTGAGCCACTCCGAGGAATAGGTACGTGTGGCGATGGTGTACATTATGTATATGTTATTGTGTATTCGTTTAGTTTTCGTCATTGTGTTTTGGTTTTTAAAGTCCCCCCAGCGTGAAGTACCGAAACGAGGAAAAAAAGAAAGAAAAAAGGATGTGGATGTACGGATATAGGAAAAAATCCATAGTAGAATGGATCGGTATACGCGTTTCTGTACAACAACAGCAGTGTATCAATGCACTGGCGACTATTGGTCGGACAAAACGCTCGTTGTTCGATTTCTTAAGCGTACGAATCGACCTCTCTGCTCATATAAAATATATTTTGTACTACTTATTATATACGGACTTTGGATATTATATTATATTACATAATATATAATACCTCTGTGGGTGATGCATATAATATTGTGTGTTTATACACCCAGGACCCGAGATACGACCATTTGACGGCGGCGGCGTCGTCTTGATTATTATTTTTCTCTGTCCTCGGAAAGACGGCGGCCGGGCTCGCGGGGACCCCGACGACTCCCCTTATAGCTTACGGTCGTATACGACGACGCTTTCTACATATATTCTTCACTGGTCCACGGGATAATAATAACAATAACAAGACGACAGGTAGACACATACGTATATACCTCTGTGTATATGTATATAATATATACATTATACTCGTATTATAGTGGTGCAAGTGTGCAACCACACCCATGATGATTGTACACCGCTGCCGCCGCCGCCGAGTCGTTCTCGGTAAACATATTTTCTCCCTTCTTCAATAAACCCCCTATTATTACTTCGTTCAAATATCGCCGCCGCCGTCGTCATCGTCGTTTTCCACAAAAATCTCACAATATGTACATTAATATGACCGAGCACATTCCAAAAAGTCCTACTCCTCGTCCACTTCCTCCGTGTTCCCATCACTCCTTCTCACTTCATCCTCCGCCGCTGTATTTGTATAGCTATATATACCTACCTACCTATTTAACATCATTTTCGGCACTATCGCGGTGGTATACCTCAGCAGTTGTTGTTGGTTGTTTGTGCGACATCAAACATAATAATATACCGACCGTATACTATATAATATATCAAGGAGAGTGGTCACGAATGTAAAGGGAAATCGGGTTACACATAAATATTTGGCAAATTTATCGAGAAATAAAATCTACAAGACATTTTCAATCGCGATAACACCGTATTTTCTGGGATTTAGTGAGGAAATAATGTACTTATAAACGCTGTGTCCGCCTATATCCATTTATACACACACATAATATGCGAATCCTTCGTTTTTTTTTGTCAAAATCGCTCTTTAAAATGTCGTATCTTCTTCGAGATTCCTGGATGGCGTTTGAGAGAGATATATAGAGAAACAGAGAGACATACGGACACAGAAAGAAAGAAAGAGAGAGAGCTGTTAGGCTGAACCATGTTCAATCGATTACCATCGGTCGGACGGTATATCGTATTATATATAATATATTATATTCCCTAGACTAATGCTGCGGGACAGGACGACCGCCGCCGGCCTGACTGACAACACTATTAAAAAAAGGGTTGTATTATACATATTGTGTGTATACTGTGAAGAGAAGACGACCTTGAATGGGTGTCTTTAGTCGTCAATCGAAAACGGCTCGGGTTCGTGATGAATGGAACGGGTGGGTCAGTGCGCATGCGCTAGTCGAGTTGCTCGTTATTAAACGCATACCTATATAATAAAGGTACTCTGCCTCGGGTCTGGAGCTTGTTACAACGAGAGCCCCACGTGCAAACGCCTCGCGACACTCGACGAAAACCCACGGGCGCCGGCTACAGCGGGTCTTGGTATATATTATAATATCGAGGACAAAAAGCGAAGGTCTTACAACAGCATAGTATGTAATGGCTTCAGCGTGTCCTCATCGATTTCGTCACACAAAAGTCGTCATCCGTCCCTGTCCCTGCAGCGCACGGGGCGCGTCCGGGTAAATCGTATTCGCGTTATAATAGATATACGCTCTTATTATTATAATGCTATTATAATGTCGTGAAAACCGCTGTTATAATAATATCACAGTCAGCGAGGCTCTGTCTCCGTCTCGTCCCATTATATTCCCAATGTGTAGGTACCTACCTATTATGTGTGCGGAGGCGTAGCCTGTCGATCATCGAATGACGCCGCATGCAGTGTGCGTTGTACGCGCCGCGCATACTATTACTATATAATCGGCTTCTGAAGTCCTGCACGGCGTGTCCGACGCGTGAATTATAATGTATCGCATATAATAATAATAATAATATGTTTATGTATATGGGTACATGATAATATTATAATAGCCTCGGCCGGTATGTGCGGTGTACAGATTGTGTTGCGCTATAAGTGTGCGTACAGCCACGTTAACGAGCGACGGACGGACCCGAACGTGCAACTTGGATTCTTTTTATTGTTTTTTATTATAATCAGTGTGCCCATACACATTATACCTACATATTATACGCTATTATTTTTCTCTCCCGTTGGTTCTATAATATACGGCTGTGGCGGGCGGCAGAAGAAACGAGAATACTATATAATAATAATAATATGTGCGCGCGCCGAATAATAATAATATAATTTAATATGCGCGTTGTTTTTTCATTTCTCCGTCGATCGTTGTATAATATAATATGCGGGACGACGGAAACGGTGTAGGTACACGCACACACACGCGGGATATAATATATTATTGGAGGTATATACCTACATCATATTTTATACAAGATATTATAATAGTAGTAAGTAATAGAATAGGTATATGCAGAGAAGGTCGGTCGGCCGCCGGTTGTAGATATATATCATATACATAATATTATTATTATATATAATACGTCTGTATATACAAAATCGAACGGCCCCGTGGTGTTTACACGGCGGCGGCGGCGACGAGCTATTAAAGGGAAAAAAATCTTATAGGCGTCGGACAATGTTATCTAAAATATTCATCTTGACGTTTGGCTCGGGGCCCAGGTTTCTTCTTCTTCTTCTCCTCCTTTTTTTTTTTTTTTACTACAATTTCGATCTATCACTTATAGATCTTTCGTTAGAACATTACGCGGTTTGTGATCAATCGTCGATGGGCTCCAATAATAATAGTTAACTCCTCCTCCTCCCCTTCATCCTCCACCAAAGACTCTTCGTTACTACCATCGAGTTCATTAGCGAGGAATGCCAAAAAATCACTGTAGTTTTTGGAAACGATTTTCGAAATCAATTGTGTTTATCTTTTGTGTACACGGTTCGGTCTCTTCACAGTATACCTATATACCTGCATAATAATATATTATAAAGACTAGGATTTTGTTTACAAACCAATAAAAATTGAAACTCTCATCTATATATTATATACATTTTTTTTCTAAACCGTAAAATAAGTTGTTACCCCTCGCATAATATAAATACAAAAGTGATTTAACGAACCTTTTATTTTTAATGACCCTAATTTATTTAGTGATCGTCTTGGCCGTCTACTGATTTAGTAATTTATGTGACCAAATATATGTTTTCCTCTACACTCGGTTTTCTTCGGAACGGCATAAATTAAATTATATTATAATAATGAACACAAAGCCCACGATATTTTTTTTAGATAAACAATGTGTAGTTCAACGTTGAAAAATATCAAACCTAAATAACATTTATTAATTATATTTATATTTTTTTTTTGTGTGTAATGTATTATTACAATCGTTTTCTTATATGAATGAAATTATTGTTTTCACCGTAGTGGTGTTCATTGTCTGCTCAAGAACAAAAATAAAAATATAGTAATATCATCACGTCACACTTTGATAATAATAATCATTATTGTAGCCGATGGAAAAAGAACCCGTCAAAAATGCAGGCTCTTGAAAGCACTTAAATTGTCTATACGGAACGCCGTGCAAGCATAGTACACCCGGCGCACTGCGTCTGTACCTATATCATATTATTATATTATCTTCGCGGGAAACGTGTAACACAAAAGAACCACATAACGAAACCTCCTCCGCGACGGTCGTCGTAACATTGTATTTAATTTATTATTTCCTGGTTTGGTCTTGAATCGAATTCGTTGTCCCGAGTCCCGACTCTCGAGAAGAACATAATATACACACACGGACAGCATCCGTTTGTAAGTGATGTCGGGTAGGTCTCGAGAGGGTCTCTTCTCGCTTATATTTTATTGTACATCATTCCACACACAGCACGCCGGCCGGTGTTAGGGGTCGAAGCTATTTTCGAATTCTCGGTATACGGTTGAATAGAATAAGCGAAGTAAAAAATGTGAGAGAATTATATAACATTATTATATTTAATGTTATACAAGTGGTCGGTTTGAAACGAATTTGACTTTTGAAACGTCAATATACCATCCCTCCTCCCCACCACCATCATTCACACTGTTGAACGCCTATATGTATCACGTGTTGTTTCAATATGTTATATGCAACGATGATTTTCTCTCTTATGGGACGGTAATGAGTATAATGTACCTACATTAATAATTGGGCTTATAGAAAAAAATGTTATTAAACGGTATGTGATTTATGTGTGCACCCGGCGGGGTGTGCTGTAGTACAGTGTAGTCGAACGAACGTATATATTATTATAAACGTTTCCCTGCATACCACCGACTCCGCTGGTCGGCAACCGCCTGTTGCTGCAGCGGTAACGACGACCGCGCGTGATGACGATGGGAACTCTGTAGGCCGTAATTCGTTGTAGTCGTCAAATGTCTTGTTAATTGATTATTATTACTACCATTATTATTATTATTATTATTATTATTATTAATATGTGTATATAAACATTGTATAAGCTATATGACCGTCGTTTGGCTTACAGATGTGGGAGCTACTCCTGTTGAGCATCTTGAAATGGGACGTGTCCGCTATCACGGCTCACGACTTCCTATGGTACATACTTAAAAGACTGAACATGGACACCGCCAAGCCGTTCGTTGACGTTGTTATCAAACACTGCGGCACGTTCATCGGCATGTGCTCCAGAGGTAAGTCTTATCAATAATACACATATTTAATTAACTTTGCTACATATTGTATACGTAATGTAGGTACACCACGATATCATATCGCAATTGATATGCTGTGCACAGTGGCGTACCCAGGATTTCTAAAAGGGGGAGGGGTACAAGAAAATATAATAAAAATAAATTGTAATTATATGCATTTTGTAATATTTATATGGTAATTTAATTCATGGTATTTAAATTAAAAGTTATTTCCACATACCACTTTAAATCAGACTTAGAGGACTGGGGATATGCATTATACGATGTGGTTGGTGTGATTAAATCTGGATTTTTGATTCATCTTGATTTCAAATGCATTCAGTCCGGTAATTTTTGTAATTGATAGATTCAAAAATCATTTAGTTAAGTATTGATTTTATTTATACATAATATTAGATAGGTACCTATAGATAATAATTAAATAAACAATAAAATATTATATAGCTTATTGCAAAAGCTCAAACACTTGACATAGTCATGCTGTGTTATAAATTCATAAGTTTTAAAAATTAAATACTAAATAGTATAGTCTATAATAGTTGATTGTTATTAGGTACATAATGATTTTTTATTCCTATATCTTTTCATTTATTTTTTTAATCATACTGTATAATTCACTGGTTCTTATTTTAATATCAGTATTTGTTTGAAATATTTTAGAAACTATTTATTACTTACAGGTATTAAAACATCTGAATTAAAAGATGGTTCTGGCTTAATATTGCTTAATATACGACTGTAGGTATCTAAAGTAATGCATTTAATTTTGTATGTGAGAATTTACTTTTCTGATTTTTGTCTTTTGTAGTAACTTTCGTAACAATTTTTTATTTCCACGCAGAAGCTCACGAATTCTAGGTGCTTTTTAATTAACTTGTGTAGGGACTTCCATTATTATATTGGAACCATTTGTTTTGTGTGAGAACTTAAATGATCCGGGCAACACGAGTGTACCAAGTCCCTGGGTGTACTGTATTTGTTCGACTTCTCCAGTTCTTCCCAAAGCTTTCCGAAGTATATTTTGTTGGATTTCGATTTTTTTTAGTTTTTTTTTTAACCTTAAACGAGACTATCGTTTCAAGCGAATTATACATATTTCGAAGGAAATAATAATTATATTATATTTATTTATATAAAGGCACGCACGAGTATTATGCATATGCGTTTGCTCGATTATCTCGACCTTATTTGGTTTCTCGCAATGCGGTAGTATGACGCGGAGGGACCGGTTTCGATGTGCGGTGGTAGTTCAAACCGTACTTGCAAATCTTATCTCGGACAAATCTCGGCATCAAGTGTGTGTGTGTGTGTGAGTTGAATAAAAACTCTGCAAAAGGGTTTTCTGATTTGTACTCGAAGATTCGCTTGAAGCTACACAATTAATGAAAATTCAAATATTGAAAGCGTGTGACGACTGCCCCTCCACGTCACGATAGTTGTAACATAGTAATTAATAAATAAATCGACAAAATTACATATCGAGGAACACGGCCGTTGCATATAATTATATGTGTACCGAAATTTAACAAAGAATAATGATAATGCCTATATAATATCATAAAGTCGGTGGTCGTACAAAGGGAATCGTGGGACGGCGTGTGAACGTGTCGAGTTGTTTCGTCGCGTTCGAGATCCATCCCCCGCCGTAAGCGAGTAGGCCATAGCAGCGGCATTTCGTTATTAATTATTTATGTGTTTAATAATAATTGTAAACTCCGCTCCAACCGCATAATAACACAGCCATTATAATAGATATCAGAACATATAGGTAAACACTACACTTTTTTTTTCATTATTTTCCGATGCAGCGCATTCACGATGATTTCAATATTATCTATTCACAGCCGATATTACCATACGATTTCGGCGTGCGAACGAAGTGTCCGTCCTTTTGGTGTATTATACTAATATATTTCATGTACAGAAAGACGCGATCGGTGGTATTATTAAATATTATCGGACGATGTCCGCTTCGTCGTCGTCGTCGGTGGACCGTGTTTTCAATATTAATCCTCGGCCGGACTCGCACGGTCGATAGCGCACGTCGTAATAAAAACGATAAATAATGATGATAAAAAAAAAAATCGCAGGCGGCTGATTCTTGCTGCACGACGACATTTATCCGTGTGTAGAGGTGGTCCCATCGTACACATTATATTATATAGCTGATATATTATTATGTGTACTAACCTCCGCCGCTGCCGTTCGCATCGTCCGAAACCTCGTCTCATTGTCTCGCGCGTCTGTGTGCGAGCACTTCGTGGAAAACGCCACGGAACAATCTCAAAGGAAATGTGCCGAATGAAATATGGTTTTCTTTTTTACGATAATGATTTTTAATAAAAATAGTAATAATAATAACGACGACATTATTATTATGATGGTTATTATTATTACTATTATTTCCGCCACCTCCATCCCCTCCGCGCGTATGATGTATCATAATATTCGCACCATCTACAAAATATCATACACTTATTCCCACCGATTAATAAGTCGCCGACGCGGCCGCTGCCGATTGCAATTCGTTACACATTTTGCGAACGTTTTTATGTGCTTATTGCTGCCACTGCAGCAGTGCCCCACGGTATATACCTGCATCGTGTGTGTCTGTGTATTATATATATATATATATTGTGCTCTGTCGTCGTTATAATATTAAACGCAAAAAAATTAATTTACGTAACGTCTAAAAGTGTCGATAAAACATTTTCGAGACGATGCGGAGGGCGTTATAAATATATTATAATATGTGGCGCATACGCGAGCACGCACGCACAAAACATCATCGTTGGTACAACGCACTTAATATTCGTTCTGAACGTTTATGAACACTTTAAGCGTACTTAAAATAATTGTATCGGCGATGGTTATGCAAGTTGTGTGTTAACGTCTTGGTTTTGATTTTATATGCCCCACACCCCGCGCCCGTCGCCCCGTAAATTATAATTTCGACGGTCGTCTTGCTATGTGTACTGCGTATATTATGGTAATATACGTTCGTGTCCCTAGGAAATGTGTATAACACGTGAAAAATGTTAATTTCGAAAATATAATATTATTCAGGCCTCCCATAAAACCGTGTATATAATACGACGTAAATACATAGAATATAGATACATGGCGGCGGTGGAATAATAAATTGTGGTTTGTGTTTACATTATTAACCGGAAACTACTTGTGCGACCGACAATCCTTCGGGTGGTTTGTTCTTCATTATCTGTCCGCAAGGTCAAACAAGTTGGATATAAACAAAAATAAGGGTTGTGGAGGCTTCATTATGCTATTATTTTTTTCTTCTCCGTTGGGAACTAGTAATAGCTATAGGAGACGAGACGCGTCGCACATATAGGCAGCATGCGGCGACAACGACGACGACGATTACTGGTTCAATGATGCAGGGTCATCCGACGTGTGTGCGTGTGCGCGTGTCTGTGTGTGTGTAAATGTCGTAACATATACAAAAAATATTCATCCCTCTCTGTTGCGACCGTTCATCGTTAATGCTTACAATAATGAATGGAGGATGTGTATATAGGCCCCGACATTCAATGAGAATTTTTTTTATGGCTTTTAAAAACAGTATTAGATTTGTCGAAAAAGAGAGAGAGTGAGACACAGATAAATGCAGCAGCGATTCTTATGCGTTTCTTATGTTATACGAACAGGCGCTTTCGATTAGCGGGAGGGTGAAAAAAATAATAAACCCGAGTAACTACTGCGCTATAATATTCAACTTTTTTTCTGTTTTTTTTTTTTTTTTTAAATATTTTTTGTTTCAATTTTTTTTTCATAATATATTATAATACATAATAACATACAATACGGTCTCCGATGTCCTTCTCCACTCGTACATGTGTTGCTGCACAACGGTAATGTGTGCGCATTATATACATACAACGTGTCATCTTGGGAATATCTTTGCCCGGCCAACATATGTGCTCGTTGCACGGTTTTTATGTAATATTGTGTCGTCGTATGTCGTATCAGCAGCGACTCACGTCCCTGTGGGGCCTAGTGAAAAACCGTAAAATCGAGCTGAATGCTCGTCGACGCCGTCGCTCGTGGCCCGTCGATTTTTTTTTCTTCTGTTCGTCACGGTAAAAAAAAATAATGACATTTTGTCGGTTTTTCGACGCCAACCGGTTTGTTGACGGGTTGAGGAGATCCCATTTTACGAAATACACATTGGAGTGCATAGATCATAATGCGGTATATCGTTTTAATGTTACCGTTTCCGATCTATTATCAGAGACAAGTTTTCACACCAGTTTTTAGGCTTATGCCGCATCACGTGGATAAAAAAAAAACCGACCAATAAATATAATAACAACATCGATTCTTGACGTTAGCCATTTAAAAAATAAATTTCGATCCGACTGCAATACGCGTAATCGGGCCGTACAGCGGCGTAAATTAAATGGTTGTCGTCTCCGGTTCCTGTCTGGTCAATAAAAATAATAATAATATTAAATACTCGGATAATCCATATTATAATATTTTTTTCTCAAAAGCGACGTTTATAATTTTTAAACCTATCTACGTTTTATATTTTTTGTCCCATAAAGGTTTTGAATAGCATAACACTCGACACACTCGTATGAATATCATCATAATATACCTATATTATGTTTTTTTCAATCACTAACCGGCTGCAGTTGTATACCTGCATTGCTGCAGCAATAATACGATTATACAATAAACCTTCGTGCGCCGCTTTGACGACAACGTTTGTGTATTTTATACACTATTGACTCTGATCACTCGGCCATTGACGAATATTAGAATATCGCCACAATACATAATAATATTACAGACTCCGTTTTTGTCGCTTACCACGCGGTATTTCGGTAGTCGTGCGTGCGTGTGATTCCTGCTATCACAATATTATAATAACAATGATAATATTTATACCGCCGCCGACCACAAAATACACCACTCTCGGGTTATCGTCGGCGGTAGACGCGTTTTATTTTGTC